ACCAATGATATTACGAGCTGATGTTGGTAAACAGAAGACACACAGTGAATGAAATAAATATGGTGACAAAATTTTCAGTTTTTTTATGTACTGAAGAATCTAAATTGTTTGGAAAATGGAAGTAGTTACGAATTTCCATAATTTCGATATAGTTTTAGCTATTACTGACATTCCAAAAACTTTTGAGTTTTTGTCATTTTACTTTTTCTATAGATTTCCCGAACTTCTTGTGAACCAGACTGTGTGACCTTAATATGATAAATGTAGCGCTCATTTCCTAAGTTTCTAGATTCTATACTATATAGCTTTTTAACCTGATTTAGAGAACACGTCATATTATACTCAATTTCTAATATGAAGTCAATCAAATTAAGTTAATTTTAATCATTCTTTTCACGACATTTTTCCAAACAAGAACTATTTCACTCCCTCTATCAGTCAATTTGACATTCTCGGGACATTTTGGTACAACAACCTTGCGCGGCAAATGTTTAATAATATAACTAATAAACTGTTTGGGTACTAATTTTGGAAGAGGGATAAACCGCAGCGCCTATCCTTGATGCTTTTTTTCAAAAATTATTACATGGTGTTATTGGAAGTGACCCTATAGAGTTCTTTATAGATAAGAAATGTTTGACTTTCATTTAAAACGTAACAAAAAGGCGGTTAATGAAAATTGAAAGGTAAACTTTTCAAACATGTTTGCCCAAAAAGTTGATATTTTCAAATTGCTAATGTATCCGTCCATCCCTTGTCCAAAAGCAACATAAAATACTATAGGACTAAAACGAATGGACTTGGGAAGAACCGTAAAAATGTGTTAAATGTCAAGTATCGCTTTTTCATTATAATCTTAACACTCTAAATGGTTTTACTTATGTAATTATAAATATTGAAATGTAAGGCTTTCAAATCTGTAAAGTGCTAAAACAGAGTTAAGGCCTCCGATAGGTTAGTGTTTTAGTCTTATAGACCGGAGGTGACGGGTTCGATTACGAATCTGATATCTCATCGTTAGCCTGTGTAATAGAAAACGAAACCAACTTGTTAATGAAATCACTTCTCAAAGGAATCGGTAGGAAATATTCGATTCTATTTAGAAAATATCCACAGAATGTTGGTCATTGGCAGCTATAACCTTTCCTTGTCTTTCTGGCAACATATACTTTCCGCGCCAAAATAACTCCTCATATTTTGAGACCAATAACGAATGTAGAAAAATTTCTTATACCCTGTTTTAAAGTGAAGCATATTCCAAAGAGAGCGGTTCTGCATTGATCGGAATAAATACACGAGTCGGAAGAGGCTAGCTAGTATTTAACTGGTATTGCAGAACATACGACCTAGCATTGTCATGATGGAATATTACGCTTTTATGTCTGGCCACCTATTCTGGGCAGTTTTTCGGTCACTGCTTGCTTCAAACGTACCATTTTGGGAGATCTTCCATGTCAAATTACACACTTCTCATCTGTACAAACCATTTATCATTCCCTAAAGCGGATTAATGTCGAAGTGCTTTACGTGAACACCTACCGTGTTGGCCTATTTCACTGTGGTCTTTTTCAACCACTAGGTGAGCTTTTGCGACCGACCCATTGTGCTTCTTACACACAAGTGGCAATTTTCGTATATGGAATGTTCCGATCCAATATACATACGTGCACTTTGCACAAGTACTTGAGCTACATAATCTCTGACCGTTCCGCTTAACTTCCGAGATGCAAAAAACATCACTTCCGTTTACAACCACGTAGATGGGATGGCTTCTGTTAAGTCGGCAACTGCACCTAGAGACGTAACCGGTGGACCGAAGTACGAATCCATCAAATAAGCCGAGACTTTGTTCTTACTCACAGTGACACATTGTGGTAATACTTGTATGATTATTGTTTACTCTGAATATACTTGGAGAACTAAGGAAAATTCAATAGTATAACTTGTATAAGAGGGATAAACCGCAGCCATCACCATTCAACCCAGCACACTTCTCATTCGTCCGGCACACTCAATAGAAAACAACATACGACACACTTACTCTAGGTATACGGGTTGGCAAGGCCCGTATACTGCTATCTATCTCTTTTATCATATACAATTAACACCAACTCATTTCCAACGCTTAGTCCCTCCTCTGTGGGGTATCTGTTGTCATTTGGCAACAGCACCGAACTTATCCCGTAATATAGATTTCACCGTGCATCATTCTTTTAACAACAACTTGGGTTTAAACCACAGCCACTACGTGGATCCCGAAGAAACCTCAACCAACTGACCAGCCAGGACAAGTCCTGCGGGCAACTGGCCACCCGTAGTACCAGATTATGGGGTTCTCTGGTTAGACCCCATGTCAAATCATTCCAAGGACTAGCCGATGAGTGAAATGACATCATCAATTTATAGTCCCGGCGGACTAGAGATACGGGTAGCACCTCTTTACACCAGGATTTCAATACACCAAGACGAGTGTGTTTCATCAAGGAAACATGCCCCGAGGGGACGTTAAAGCGGATGAAATACATTTTATTATTAATTCAAATATTAGAAAGACTTTCTTATATTAAGGTAGCTGAAGAATATAACGCTTTAAAATATACGCCATCTTTAGCGAATCTCACGTTTTTAAATTATACCCAAAATTTATGAATTTGTAAATTATTTTTTAATATTTTTAAATTATACCCAAAATTTATGAATTTGTACAGATTAAAAAAACCTTATTGTATTCAAAATTTTGTACAAAAATTTGTTGATTTTCTAACAAAAATTTAATGAAAATTGTAATTGTTTAAATCTTTAATAATTACCTAGCAAAAACAAAATACTTTTCAATAACTACATATTACATATTGTCTGGATTAAATAGAAGTAGTCTAATAAGGTCTTACTAATAATGTGTTATATATAAATACTTTCTAATTCATTAGACATCTTGCCAGTGAAGATATAGAATCTGTATACGTTTTATCATGCGATTTACAATGACTACATTTTCTAATTACTTGTAATCGTTTGTGGTAAGTGCTTGCCTCCAATGATATCACCATATTCAATAAGGAAATAAGTAAATATTAGCTTTTTAACTGCTTACGAGGTAATGAAAGTTTTTACTGGGTATGTTATTAATAAAGGCTAAAAACTTATAAAAATATAAAGAATTTAATAAAGAACTTTGAATATTTTTCAAACATTTCTATTGTATGTAAGTGTGTTTCACACACTAGAATAAAATAAAATTTCCCCCTAAAAAACCCTTCGGATCCTTTAATTACCTTCATCTTTTTTTGAAATATATTCTAACAAAATTTGGTATTAAAGAAAGAACTTGAAAAAAATCGTATGCTCGGCGCTTAAGAAAATAATTTCCACCTTTTTCTAAATAATTTAAGTAGGCGAGTAAATAAAACAGATTAATTAAAGTACATATTCTAGTACTTGTATTGAAAACAATATAAAAATATCGAAAATCTTTACAAACACACAATGAATTTTCCAAAACTCATATTGTAGTAAAGCAAAAAAACTCAATAAATATCTCTCTAGAAAATAAGTCTAAAAAACTCTTTACAATTTTATTTCTTTAACTAAAAAAATCACTCAATTAAACTGCCTTATCAAAAATATTAAAATAATTCATGATTTCATTCTCTTAAATTTTGAGAAATTCTCCTGAAAAAACACTGCCTTATCATTTCTACTAGTTGTTACGTGCTTAAGAGCAAGAGTTTGTTATTACTCTGAAAGAAGTTCAAAATAATTTTATTGAAACCTCGAAAACAGAGACACATCACCATCGTCAACCTCTTTACATTATGCCTGTGAGTAATGTCACTCGAATTTTGAATCGAATACTGTTGAGAAAATAAACACACATACCCATAAACTCATTTATCACACCACAACAACAATATCACTCACACCTTAGGAAAAAGAAATAACCTCAACTAAGAGTTGTTGAACTGTTTGCTGGCTGCTTGCTAAGGTGAATGAGTATATTAGAGTGTGTGTGTGTGTGTGTGTAAGTATCTGTGTTTGAAAACATAATGGTGCTAAAGGCAAAAGAGACAAATATTACAAACACACAATCATACTCAAACGAAATGTATTACACACAGATTCATACATGTGTATTTCATACATGAGTATTTCATTTAATGGAATAGAGATGATGTTTTTTATTGTTGTTATTGGTGGTGGTGGTGGTGTGTATGATATTTTTTTTTGCTGTCGTTGTTGTTTTTCTTTCTTTTTATTATAGGTTTGTATGTAGTTTTGTTTGTGTTTTGTTGAGATGTTGCGCTTAGAGCCGAAGTTGCTTGTCACTCGCTGGAGACATTTGTGGGCAGTTGCGTTGAACTTGTCGTCTTGTGCGTATCTTGTGTTAAATACAAAAAACAGATACGGAGTACGGATACAAAAACCAAACAAAAAAACTTATATCAAATACAAAAGAGTGCTCTTTTATTTGCTGGATATATAAAAACGTTCTATAAGATACTCTTTTACGTGTTTTTCTCGTATATTTAAAGTGTCGCCAAATAACATACAAAAACAATTTTCTTTTTTCTCCATTCCCGGGTTTATATTATATACTCAGAATATATTCTATCCACCACCAATAACAACAAGAACTAACTCTTGCTCTTCTGCTTTAACAATAACAACAACATTACCGTCACCATCAACCTCATCATCAGCCAAACAATTCATTGTGAGCTCTTGTGTATCTATGTACAAGACTCAACAGTCAGTGTCACCCACGACATCACAAGAAGTGGACATATAAACACACACAAACATTTAGTTAAAAAAAATAATAAAATAAAAATATTGGTTTGAGGCAAAAAGTGGAATATTTTTATATGAGTATAAGAAAAACTAAAACAAACGAAAACATTTTAAGAAAAATAAAAACTGGATTTTGTGTTTGAGAAAAAAAAAATGAAAATATTATTTGTAATGGAATTGTTATAAAAAAAACTATAAGTGCTTAACAAAACAAATTAAAAACAATTTTATTTAAAAAAAATTTTAACAAAAAATTTTTCCAAACTCAATTTATTAAAAGGATTTGAAAGCGAATAATTTTTTAACAACCAAAAAAACTAAAAAACAAAGTAAGTATTGCCACAAATTGTAAATTTTATAAAGCCGTCGGTATTTGGTATTTTTAAAAATTTAACAACCGACGGAAATTTTAATTTTTAAAAAAAAATTAGTTTTTCTTTTAAAGGAAATACTTTTATTTCAAAATCAGTTATTTTTAATTTTGTTAAACTAAAAATTTCCCTTGAGCAGAAAAGCTAAAAATGAAGAATTTTTCTTAAAATTAGAAGCTATTAAGTTAAAAATACTTCAAAATTTTAAATTCCTTGAAATTTTGAAAATTTCCCTTTTGGGAAATTTTAAGGGAAATTTTTAATATTTACATTTTTGAACTTCTCAGACCCAAAGCAACAAAAATATGTTAAGAATTTTGAAAAATTAACAAAAATAAAAATTTCCCTTTAAGAAAATCTAACAAAATTTCAAAGAAATTGAGAAAGTTACCAAAATTCTACTTTTTCGAATTAAAGTTCAAAATCAGTTTAAAGAACTAAAAATTCATGTCATGAGACATCATGACATGTCTTGTTGACATTTATTTGAACAAAAATAAAATTTCAAATTTATTTTTTATTATTATTCTTTGAAATTTTAATTTGACAAATGATTGACAAGTTAAGTATTTTAATTGTTGACGGTTTTTTTTTCTAACCTTTTTTGGTTTTGCTTTATGTTTTATCATTTTATTTTATAAATGCAATGATTTTTGACCTTGTAAATTATGAAGCTTGAAATTAATATTTCAAAATTATTTGAAACCTCAACAAAAATGCTTTAGTTTCTCACATTAAAAATAGCAAATTATTATTAAATATTATTATTAAACTGTGAATAATTAATTTAAATAAGAGCATAAATGTCTTCCTAGTTGAAGATGAATATGGTAATAAAACAAAATGATTTATGATGAATTTTGAAATTAATTTGAATTGTTATATTGTTTCAATGGAGTTTTTTTTTAAAGAAATTTAAACAATTTGTTAAAGGAAATTATTAATTAAAAAAAACGTTTGGTTTGAATTTAAGATTTTTAGCTCAATTACAAAAATTTCCCTTATTTTTAAAACTCTTGTTTGTATACTTTTTATTTGAAATATTTATTTTTCTCTACATTTTAAAAATTTAATCTTGATTGACAGTTTTAAGTAGTCAATTGAAAATTGTTTGCATATTTAAACATATGTTTGTTTTAAAGGCTTATACAAGTTTGAGGTTGACATATGACTATAATTATACAAATTAAAAGTTTAGTTTTTTTTGTATTTAATGGAATTATAAAAATTACATCATGTTTTCTAGAGAGATTTATTTTAAAATTTCCAACTAATTTACATAAATATAGAAATTTTATAGTAATTATTTTGTAACAATGTTTGTTTTCGTATAAAAAAATTAAAATAATTATTTTTTTTTTCAAAATTTTGAAAATTTCCCTTTTGGGAAATTTTAATTTCTTTAACAAAATTTCTTGAAATTGAAGGAATTTAAAGTAAAAGTTTATAATTTAGAGGAAATTCTTTAAAAATTTCAAGTTTTCCTTTAAGAATTTTAAAAAAAACTTTGAAAAAATTTCAATATTTTTTATAATTGTTGTAAAAATTAATATTTTTTTAAATAAAATTGATATTTTTATAATAAAAAAGCATTTAATTTGATTTTTACAGTAAAGAATAGCCTATTATCACGAATTCCGTCAAATTTTGAAAATTTCCCTTTTGGGATATTTTAGGGAAATTTTTAAATTTCCTTAAAAATTAAAAATTTAAAGAAAATGGAGCTAAATTAACATAATTTTAATGAATTTGTTAAAAAACTAACAATTTCCCTAAAACAAAATTTAAAAAATTCACAAAAAATTTCAAAATTTTTTCAAAATTTTATTAAAAATTCAATAATCGTAAATAAAACCACAAATTTCTTTAGCAAAAGTTTAAAATCTATGTGTTAGTAATAAAGTATAATTCAATTTTTGCTACATTTAAAAAATTTCCCTTTTGGGATATTTTAGGGAAATTTTGAAATTTCCTTAAAAATTACAAATTTAAACAAAATGGAGATAAAATAATATAATTTTTACGAATTTTCTATAAAAACAAAAATTTCCCCAGAACAAAATTAAAAAAATTCCAAAAAAATTTTAAATTTTTCAAAATTATTTCAAAATTTTATTAAAAATTCATTTTCTATAAATAAAACCACAAATTTCTTTAGCAAACGTTTAAAATTTATGTTTTTGTAATAAAGGCTATTTCAATTTATGGATTTTTGCAACATTTGGAAAATTTCCCTTTTGGGATATTTTTGGGAAATTTTTAAATTTCCTTAAAAATTACAAATTTAAACAAAATAGAGATAAAATAATATAATTTTTACGAATTTTCTATAAAAACAAAAATTTCCCCAGAACAAAATTAAAAAAATTCCAAAAAAATTTTTAAATTTTTCAAAATTATTTCAAAATTTTATTAAAAATTCATTTTCTATAAATAAAACCACAAATTTCTTTAGCAAACGTTTAAAATTTATGTTTTTGTAATAAAGGCTATTTCAATTTATGGATTTTTGCAACATTTGGAAAATTTCCCTTTTGGGATATTTTAGGGAAATTTTTAAATTTCCTTAAAAATGAAAAATTTAAACAAAATGAAATTAAAATAACACGATTATTATGAATTTTCTATAAAAACAAAAATTTCCCTAGAACAAAATAAAGAAAATTCACAAAAATATTTCAATATTTTTCAAAATTCACAAAAATATTTCAATATTTTTCAAAATTTTATAAAAATTATTCAAAATTTTTATATTAAAATTGCATATTTTGTTAAAAATTGCTTTAAAATCTTTAAGATACTTTCAATCATTTTCAATGATTTCTCTAAAAATTTTAATCATTTTCATTTTTTCACATTTCTGTCCTTTTTTCTCTTTATTTTTATGTTTTTATTCTTTTACTGCTTTTTAACTTTATTTTTTAAAAAATTTTAATTATTGTTGATGTTACTACTACCTCAAGGACAAAACATCCATCATCTTTTTAAATACTTTTTACAGCCCTATATTTTTATGTCATTTAACTTGGCTCTTTTTATTATAAGATTTTTTTTCTTTAACCATCTTTTATGATAAATATCCCTCTAAATTTAATGACAGCATTGAGAAAAGGATGACTGCCTTAAAAACCATCACGATCAATGTTATATTGTTGAAATTATTCTCCCCCATTGTAAAATGTAAAATCTTTATGATGCGTTTTTTTTTCTCTATATAATTATATCATTTGTTGTATATTGATTGTCACTGCTAGCCTTAGTCAGAGAGAGAGAGAGAGTGGAAAAAAACTAGTTTTTTTCGAATAATTATAGTTATTAAAAAAATATATCGTGTTTGGTTAAATTGATCACAAAGACAGACAGACATGAATTATACGTTCGATTTATGATTTGTTTTTGAAAGTTCACACATTTGTTTGGTAGATTTCCTGTTTTTATAGTTTTTTTAAATTAATGACAATCTTTTTTTTTTTTTTTTGTAATATCAAAAGAAAAAAGAAGCTGTTACAATGTGCTGCTAAAGAGTAATTAAATTTTGTTATAAAAATAAGAAAACCCAAACTCTGACGCACAAGAAACAACGTAAATTTCTTTAATCGATCGTAAATGTATGTAAATCTGTCATTATAAAAATTTTTTACTAAAGAGTCTTAAAACTTTACTTGGCATTTTGTCACCTTTAATAACAGTTTTTCTTTTCTCTGCTACTCTTGTTAAGCTGCTTAAAACTTGCTTTTTTGTCTTGTAGTTTTATTAAACTTAAAAAAAAACCAACATTTATGTCTCTTGACTTTGATGATTTATTATCGTTTACAATCAGTAGTTGATCATTAACATTTATATTGAATTTTTTTTTTGTTGTTGTTGTTACTACAACGATCAGCACAGATCACTCTACTCAACTAAAAGAAATCTTCTCATCACACTCATAAAAAAAATTTCAAGCTAAATATTTTTTTATTTGTAGAGATGTATCACAGCAAGTCGTCATGTAAATTTTAATTATATACATGTAAATTTCAAACTACAACAAATAAATAAAGGTCGGCTTGTCTCTTGTGGTTTTAAAGAGTTTAATGTGTATGTGTATCTTAAAATCTTTTTTTTTTTAACTAAAAAACATCTAAGCTTAAATAGGTTTTGTTTTAAAACTACTTAATGCCACCACAAACTACTACTAAAAGTTGACTACTGCTTCTGCCTCTAAATACATTTTATATTCTACTGTTTTGTACTCGTAATTTTCAGAGTTTAGTTTAGTTGATTGTTTGTTTTTCTTAGATATAAATATCGATGTTTTCATGTAAAGAAGGTTATTAAGAAAAAATTTTTATGGCTATTTAAGCTGGATCCTACTGTTATATGATCAACAAAACTATTAAGTTTTTTTTGTTGGTCTATGGTTTGTGGTTAAATTTTAAATAAATCAAGAACTAAGTACAGCAACAGCTGTTAGTGTAGCTTTTTAAAGAATAAATGTAAATTTTTAGCAGTTTTAAAGCTTTAAATGGTTAAAAAGATATGTAGATACTAAAAGTAGGAAATTTTTAATTAAAAGTTACTTTTTTAGCCAAAAGATACTTTTGTATCTGAAAATTATTTTTGTATCTTTAAGACAGTTTTGTGTTTAAAACACTCTGTTATACTAAAAAATAAGTTTTGTATCTAAAATATAAAACTTTTGCTTTAAAAAGATACATTTTTATAAAAAAGATACTTTTGTATCTTAAAGATTTGTTTAACCTTGTAAACTTAAAATAAATTTTATTAAATATTTAATACTCTTTAAACATTTAACTAATCATTTCTTTTTTCTCTTCTCTTTTTAGCAAACAACTCCCACAACAACAACAACAACCAAAACTTTAACCCCAAAAATCGTTTAACCGACATACACACACATTCACACACACAATGGAGCATTTAATGACTGCCTTTATGCCACCAGCCTATTTGTTGGGTCATCCTACAGCCTCTGCGCTATCCTCTTCTTCGGCCACCACCTCTCCGGCTACATCACCCACAGCCAATTCCTCTGGCCTTAGTAAGCCCAAGAGATGGGGTTCACCACCCGTTAATATGGGAGGACAATTTATTAATCCTGCTACTGGTAAAAAACGTGTACAATGCAGCATCTGTTTTAAGACTTTCTGTGACAAGGGCGCTTTAAAGATACACTTCTCCGCAGTACATCTTAGAGAAATGCATAAATGCACAGTGGAGGGCTGCAACATGGTTTTCTCTTCGCGGCGCTCACGCAACAGACACAGTGCTAATCCCAATCCTAAACTGCATTCTCCTCACATACGCCGCAAGATTTCTCCCCATGATGGTCGTACCGCCCAACAGTTCCCTCTCTTTCCCATGGCTCCTGCTGGTATCTTGCCCCCTGCTGCTGCTATGCCTGCTTTTCCTGGTTTAATGCCTCCACAGGGTAATGCTTTTGCTCCTCATCCTGCCGCCATGTTTGGTGATTTCTCCAGTCCTCAATTCCAACATATGCTAGCCAGCCAAGAAAGACTATTGGGAGCCCAGCATTCGTCACACTCTAGTGGTGCTTCCAATGCCTCCGATAATGATGATGATGAGGGTTATGTACTCGATGTTCAGGGTTCAAATGCTAGTCAGGGTAGTCACAGTGATGTGGATGAATATTGTCGTGAGGTCGATGAGGAAGACAATGAAGAAGATGAATTGATATCGGTCTCCATAGAAGATGAAGTCAAACCTTTAGCTACAGCCATGCATTCGGAGGATTCCAATGAACCTTTAGATTTCAGCTTACACAAACGTTCCCTGGATTCAATGTCAGCCGCCGAAAGACTTATGGCTAGTCCCAGCAGCAACTGCTCAAGTTTACCAAAACCCTCCAATAGCTTTTCCATGGACAGTTTGTTAGGCAAAAGAAAAAGATCCTGCAGTGAGTCAGAAATGTCTTGTGATAACTCATCTCCCGTAACCATTAAAATGGAAAATGAGGAAGAAGACAGCAACTGTTTGGATCTCTCTGCCTCACAGGCCAGTAAAAAAGTGCAAACTGTACCCTCCGCCCATTCATCACCCCTCTCCCCTGAAGAGCAACATCTAAGATTATTGCAATCACAAATGTTTGCTGCAGCCGCCGCAGCAGCTGCTGCTCAAACACAAAATCCTGAAGGCACAGAAAATACCGCCAATTCACCTCCTCCCATGTGGAATCTACTCTCCGAGGTATATCGTTCCATGCTTTTGAACAGCAGCTCAACTCTTAAAACACAACAGCAACAACAACAGCAGCAATACAATGAAATGTCTACGAATGCCATTTCGGTATAAATGCACAAATAAGGGTTAAAATCACAAAAACCCTTGAAAAAAAACTCCTCACACAAACTCGCTTTAGGTTGTTACCTCAAAATGTTAACTTGTTGTAAAATTCTCATTATTTTTATTATTAAATATAAAATAATTTGTAAATGTATATAAAACTACATTTTAAGTAAAACAAAAACAAATTTTATATGTAAATATTCCCTCACAAAAGAAAAAAGAAATCATCATATTACCTACAAAAGTATTCAGCAATATTTAATTTAATTTTACAAATTTTATTTTTTTAAACTATTTTTTATAAAAATTTATCTCTCTCTTTAAATCTCGCCCTAGTGCAATACTTTGTAAAAAATTAATTTCCCTTTCCTATTTTTACTTTCCCATATTTTAGTCATTTTTTTAATATTTTATAAATAAAAACTAAATTTAATTTAAATCAAAATATAATGTTATTTTTTTCTCTCTCTCTCTCTTAAAAAAAAACAAAAAGTATACGTTTATTTTAATACTTATCAACTGATATTATTATTTTTTTTCACTATTATTATTATAAATGTAAATTATTTTTATTATCATAATTTTTTTAGTCATTTAATTCTACATTAAATACGAATTAAACAAAAAAAAAAAAAAAAAAAAAACACTGTAACAAAATGTGTAACATATCTTGTATCAATTGAAAAACTTTATCATGTAGTTAAATTCAATAAAAATCAAACAGAAAAAAATTTTTAAATGTGAAATATTATTTAATTGCTGCAACAAATTATTTAGAATTAATTAGTATTATGGAAAAAAATTTTCAATAAATAAATGCTTTATTATTACGTGAGATAAATGTAATGAATTAAAAAAAAAAAAAAAAACAAAATAATTTTAGCGAATTTTATATAAACTGAAACAAAAAAACAAAATAATTAAACAAAAAAATAATAAAAAATTGAAAGTTTATTCAATGGAAAAAATTAAATTTAAACTGCATTTTTTCTTTCTCTCTATTTGTGGAATTGTAGCAAAGTTAAGCAACTTTTAAATAAAATTAGTGGAAGATTGGTGTTGTAATTTTGGCTAATATTCGGTTATATTACTGCAACAGATTTGAGTTAAACTGAAATATTCAGACAAGATAGTAATTTCATTTAGGAAATAAACTGTCGTTTCAATATAGTTCTCGCTCAGTTCTAGTTCTAGTTCAGTTCTAGTTCAGTTCTAGTTCAGTTCTGGTTCAGTTCTAGTTCAGTTCTAGTTCAGTTCTAGTTCAGTTCTAGTTCTAGTTCAGTTCTAGTTCAGTTCTAGTTCAGTTCTAGTTCAGTTCTAGTTCAGTTCTAGTTCAGTTCTAGTTCAGTTCTAGTTCAGTTCTAGTTCAGTTCTTGTTCAGTTCTAGTTCAGTTCTAGTTCAGTTCTAGTTCAGTTCTAGTTCAGTTCTAGTTCAGTTCTAGTTCAGTTCTAGTTCAGTTCTAGTTCAGTTCTAGTTCAGTTCTTGTTCAGTTCTAGTTCAGTTCTAGTTCAGTTCTAGTTCAGTTCTAGTTCAGTTCTAGTTCAGTTCTAGTTCTAGTTCAGTTCTAGTTCAGTTTTAGTTCAAGTTCAGTTCTAGTTCAAGTTCAGTTCTAGTTCAAGTTCAGTTCTAGTTCAGTTCAAGTTCAGTTCTAGTTCAGTTCTAGTTCAGTTCTAGTTCAGTTCTAGTTCAGTTCTAGTTCAGTTCTAGTTCAGTTCTAGTTCAGTTCAGTTCTAGTTCAGTTCTAGTTCAGTTCTAGTTCAGTTCTAGTTCAGTTCTAGTTCAGTTCTAGTTCAGTTCTAGTTCAGTTCTAGTTCAGTTCTAGTTCAGTTCTAGTTCAGTTCTAGTTCAGTTCTAGTTCAGTTCTAGTTCAGTTCTAGTTCAGTTCTAGTTCAGTTCTAGTTCAGTTCTAGTTCAGTTCTAGTTCAGTTCTAGTTCAGTTCTAGTTCAGTTCTAGTTCAGTTCTAGTTCAGTTCTAGTTCAGTTCTAGTTCAGTTCTAGTTCAGTTCTAGTTCAGTTCTAGTTCAGTTCTAGTTCAGTTCTAGTTCAGTACTAGTTCAGTTCTAGTTCAGTTCTAGTTCAGTTCAAGTTCAGTTCTAGTTCAGTTCTAGTTCAGTTCTAGTTCAGTTCTAGTTCAGTTCTAGTTCAGTTCTAGTTCAGTTCTAGTTCAGTTCTAGTTCAGTTCTAGTTCAGTTCTAGTTCAGTTCTAGTTCAGTTCTAGTTCAGTTCTAGTTCAGTTCTAGTTCAGTTCTAGTTCAGTTCTAGTTCAGTTCTAGTTCAGTTCTAGTTCAGTTCTAGTTCAGTTCTAGTTCAGTTCTAGTTCAGTTCTAGTTCAGTTCTAGTTCAGTTCTAGTTCAGTTCTAGTTCAGTTCTAGTTCAGTTCTAGTTCAGTTCTAGTTCAGTTCTAGTTCAGTTCTAGTTCAGTTCTAGTTCAGTTCTAGTTCAGTTCTAGTTCAGTTCTAGTTCAGTTCTAGTTCAGTTCTAGTTCAGTTCTAGTTCAGTTCTAGTTCAGTTCTAGTTCAGTTCTAGTTCAGTTCTAGTTCAGTTCTAGTTCAGTTCTAGTTCAGTTCTAGTTCAGTTCTAGTTCAGTTCTAGTTCAGTTCTAGTTCAGTTCTAGTTCAGTTCTAGTTCAGTTCTAGTTCAGTTCTAGTTCAGTTCTAGTTCAGTTCTAGTTCAGTTCTAGTTCAGTTCTAGTTCAGTTCTAGTTCAGTTCTAGTTCAGTTCTAGTTCAGTTCTAGTTCAGTTCTAGTTCAGTTCTAGTTCAGTTCTAGTTCAGTTCTAGTTCAGTTCTAGTTCAGTTCTAGTTCAGTTCTAGTTCAGTTCTAGTTCAGTTCTAGTTCAGTTCTAGTTCAGTTCTAGTTCAGTTCTAGTTCAGTTCTAGTTCAGTTCTAGTTCAGTTCTAGTTCAGTTCTAGTTCAGTTCTAGTTCAGTTCTAGTTCAGTTCTAGTTCAGTTCTAGTTCAGTTCTAGTTCAGTTCTAGTTCAGTTCTAGTTCAGTTCTAGTTCAGTTCTAGTTCAGTTCTAGTTCAGTTCTAGTTCAGTTCTAGTTCAGTTCTAGTTCAGTTCTAGTTCAGTTCTAGTTTAGTTCTAGTTCAGTTCTAGTTCAGTTCTAGTTCAGTTCTAGTTCAGTTCTAGTTCAGTTCTAGTTCAGTTCTAGTTCAGTTCTAGTTCAGTTCAGTTCTAGTTCAGTTCTAGTTCAGTTCTAGTTCAGTTCTAGTTCAGTTCTAGTTCAGTTCTAGTTCAGTTCTAGTTCAGTTCTAGTTCAGTTCTAGTTCAGTTCTAGTTCAGTTCTAGTTCAGTTCTAGTTCAGTTCTAGTTCAGTTCTAGTTCAGTTCTAGTTCAGTTCTAGTTCAGTTCTAGTTCAGTTCTAGTTCAGTTCTAGTTCAGTTCTTGTTCAGTTCTAGTTCAGTTCTAGTTCAGTTCTAGTTCAGTTCTAGTTCAGTTCTAGTTCAGTTCTAGTTCAGTTCTAGTTCTAGTTCAGTTCTAGTTCAGTTTAGTTCAGTTCTAGTTCAGTTCTAGTTCAGTTCTTGTTCAGTTCTAGTTCAGTTCTAGTTCAGTTCTAGTTCTAGTTCAGTTCTAGTTCAGTTCTAGTTCAGTTCTAGTTCAGTTCTAGTTCAGTTCTAGTTCAGTTCTAGTTCAGTTCTAGTTCAGTTCTAGTTCAGTTCTAGTTCAGTTCTAGTTCAAGTTCTAGTTCAAGTTCAGTTCTAGTTCAAGTTCTCTAGTTCAAGTTCAGTTCTAGTTCAGTTCTAGTTCAGTTCTAGTCAGTTCTAGTTCAGTTCTAGTTCAGTTCTAGTTCAGTTCTAGTTCAGTTCTAGTTCAGTTCTAGTTCAGTTCTAGTTCAGTTCTAGTTCAGTTCTAGTTCAGTTCTAGTTCAGTTCTAGTTCAGTTCTAGTTCTAGTTCAGTTCTAGTTCAGTTCTAGTTCAGTTCTAGTTCAGTTCTAGTTCAGTTCTAGTTCAGTTCTAGTTCAGTTCTAGTTCAGTTCTAGTTCAGTTCTAGTTCAGTTCTAGTTCAGTTCTAGTTCAGTTCTAGTTCAGTTCTAGTTCAGTTCTAGTTCAGTTCTAGTTCAGTTCTAGTTCAGTTCTAGTTCAGTTCTAGTTCAGTTCTAGTTCAGTTCTAGTTCAGTTCTAGTTCAGTTCTAGTTCAGTTCTAGTTCAGTTCTAGTTCAGTTCTAGTTCAGTTCTAGTTCAGTTCTAGTTCAGTACTAGTTCAGTTCTGGTTCAGTTCTAGTTCAGTTCTAGTTCAGTTCTAGTTCAGTTCTAGTTCAGTTCTAGTTCAGTTCTAGTTCAGTTCTAGTTCAGTTCTAGTTCAGTTCTGGTTCAGTTCTAGTTTAGTTCTAGTTTAGTTCTAGTTCAGTTCTAGTTCAGTTCTAGTTCAGTTCTAGTTCAGTTCTAGTTCAGTTCTAGTTCAGTTCTAGTTCAGTTCTAGCTCAGTTCTGGTTCAACTAGTTCAGCTTTTTGAGATCTTATAGGAAGTCTAAGCAATATTAAATAGTGCTTCATATATATGGTCAATATGAAAATAAAAACAACTTGTAATTTTTCAACGAACCTTCCACATTTATTATGATGATCAAACTTTCATAAAAAATGTCTTAAATAAAATTAGAAAAATATATCACACCAACCATACAAAATGAATTTGTTTAGTGTCTATAAATATGGAACATTTTGAAATAAAATAAAAACGAAATTTAGATAAATAATAAAGAGGTAAATTTGTATTATTGAAATTTAGAATAAGAAAAAAACAAGAAATTAGACTGCACGAGTACACATGTCTCTGTCTCTTTATAATTAAAAACTTGTGGTTGAATGTGTATGTAAGTGATTGTTCTGTTTAGTTGTTTTAATTTCTTCTATACGATTTTTCAATATTTGTGATTCAAATGTTCAATTCTTTTTATTTTTCTTATTTTTTTGGTGGCCATGTGTTTTATATTTGAAAATTGGAATATATTTCACTTGACATTTGAATGTGATAGAATCAATAGCACCCGGCAGAAAAAAAAAATCCTGTGTGATAGATTTTTAATGTTTTTTTATTGTTTATAGTTGAGTTGTTGTAGAAGCAGAAACACAAGTAGCTGTGTGTGTGTGTGTGCAGAACCTGTTGCCACATGACTAATATTCAAATTTATTTTTTTTTTTTCAAATGTATCTCAACATTTGCTACTCTTCTTATTCTTATTATTTTGGAAATTATTATTTTATCTTATTGGGAAATATGACGGAAAATGAAGGGTAAAAGTGGCAGTATTTACGATTAAAATAATAAAAATCCAATAATTCATGTTTATTTTTACACACATAGCGAAAACAATACAACAGAAAAATATAAAATAAAGAACAAATATTCATAAAT